GGAGAGAGGAGGTTAAGATTTCAATGGAAGGTCTTGTATGCATGCTTATGAGCTTATTCGGTGTTCTTCGGCCCCTGGGGGGTAGGGGAAGCCGGGGTTTTTTCAAGGGCGGGGGGGGGGGGGAAGGACATATATGTAATACCCTTTGTAATGCTTTAAGCAATTAAAAAAAAACAGAAAAAAAATACAGCAAGTACATCTGAGGAGATGTGACGATTAGTTCACACTCCCTGGGAAACAGGATGGGTAGAAGTGAGTTATACAGTACACTTGCTATATCACCTTCTTCATAAATCAGCCACTCAACCTGTGCTGCCAGGGGCTTATTAAAACTGGGGGGTAAGGCTTGTGTTTCTCATTTTCCTGTTTTCAATAACGTTCAGTGTTCAATTCTTTTTTTTTTCTTATTAAAAAATTAATTTCTTCTGTAAATCACTTGAATTTCATGTCTGAATAATTTCAGTATTATTTCCTATAATGTAACCAGTGGGTGTTAGAACCATAAAAATATTTACATAGCAGCACAATTTACAATAGCTAAGACTTGGAAACAGCCTAAGTGCCCATCAGCAGATGAGTGGAGTAGAAAACTGTGGTACATCTACACAATGGAATACTATGCTGCTGTAAAAGGGAAGGAACTCCTACCATTTGCAACAGCATGGATGGAGCTGGAGAGCATTATGCTAAGTGAAATAAGTCAGTCAGAGAAAGATAAATATCACATGATCTCACTCATTTGAGGATCATAATGAACAACATAAACTGATTAACAAAAATGGATCCAGAGACAGAGAAGCATTGATCAGATTCTCAAACCTCAGAGGAAAGGTAGGGGAGGGTGAGGGGAAGGGGGAGAGATCAACCAAAAGACTTGTATGCATCCATATATAAGCATAACCAATGGACAGAGACAGAATGGGGGTGAGGGCATGTACGGGAGTGGGGTGGGGGGGGGCCATAGGGGGATATGGACACATATTTAATACCTTAATCAATAAATAAAATATAATAAAATAAAATTACTGAATTAAATAGTCATTGCTTATGTTCCCTTTGGAATCCTAGCATCTCCAGGCTCCAGCACTTGCTTAGCTGCTACGAGTCCGGTGAACCAGTGTTCCTGGGAGAGCGCTATGGCTACGGTCTGGGCACTGGCGGCTACAGCTACATTACAGGAGGAGGAGGGTAACTATGAGCATGGCTTTCTGCTAATTCTCTCCACATTACACTTCTGTTTCTGGATGCAGGGCTGGGTCTTCTGGTGGTGCTCTGTAAGCTCTATAAATGGTAGCTGGAAGTGATCAATTCGTTAACCATAGTAAGTAATATTTTGTATCTTGAAGAGACAATATAAAAATGTATGTCAAGGTATTTGGTAGAAATGTCCCTGTAGTAATGCTTGCTTCTGGGTAGCCAGTTAGTTTTTATTGTCTGTTTAAATGGAAAAATAATTGGATATAGATTTTATTTTATTTTCAGAAAACAAGTCATCAGATTTTTAAATGATCTAGTTCTGACAAATCATATTTGGGAAAAGAGTAGTGTAGAAGTTTAGACTCAAGCAATTAAGTGATGCTTGTATAGGATTAATAGGTTTCAAGTAACAGTTAAAATCAAAGGTTGGGCGTTGTTTTCTAAGATTTTTATTGACTTTTAGAGAGAGAGGAAGAGAAACATCAATGCATCAATGGGACACTGATACATTGATCAGCTACCTCCCTCCCACATGCCCTCACTGAGGCTTGAGGCTGAAACCCAGGCACATCCCCTGACCAGAAACTGAACCGACAACTGCCCTCGTACCTTAGTTATTAAGTACTAGAGGCCTGG